GTCTGCCTACTGTTCTTTCAGCTCCTACCTGGGGCTTCTACGACGTCAACTTTGGCGGCAAGCCCTTCCAGTTCCAGAGAGGCTATGGCAGCTACGTCATGGAGAACGTTCTCTTCAAGGTCTCTTATCCGGGTAAGACGACTCCTTCAGGCCAATGCTACTTGTGAGCCACTTGCTAATTCGGTCCAGCTGAGTTCCACTCACAGACTGCGGTCGAAGCGGCGCAGCGCCTGAACAAGAAGCTGGCAGCGATGGGTAAGAGCGCCAAAGACATTGAGGGTGTAGTGAACCGAACGCATGAGGCCTGCATTCGTATCATCGATAAGCAGTTCAAGCCTATGGAGAACTTTGCTGACCGTGATCACTGCGTTCAAGTAAGTCTCACCCTTCGTGGTTCGCCGCCTATGCTGACATCATGGTAGTACATGGTCTCCACCATGTTTGTCTTCAACCGCCTGGAAGCCACCGACTACCCAGATGACAGCGAAGCTGCTACATCGGAACTCGTCGAGTCTCTCCGCCAGCGCATTAGCTGTGTAGAGGACCCGCAATTCACCAAGGATTACCACGACCCCGAGAAGCGCACCATCTCCAACGCCTTGACCGTAACGCTCAAGGACGGAACCGTGCTGGAGGAAGAGGTTGTCGAGGCTCCGCTTGGCCATCGGTTGCGTCGTGAGGAAGCAAAGCCCGAGATTCTTGCCAAGTACAAGAGGCATCTCGGCCCGCACTACCCGTCGCAACACGTTGACAAGCTCGTCGCGTTAGCGCAGGACCCCAAGTCGCTGGACAACATGGACATCGACGAGTACGTCGATCTGTACGTGAAGAACTAGAAATCAAGATTAGCTAGATTGAGTGACTTCGCGATGGGCGCACCTCGGCATGGCTGACTATCGCGTTATCGCGTTTTCGCTAATGCAACTAGACGCGGTTGAACGACGTCCCGAAATCGGGAACGTGCGCTTCCGCCTTATTACTGCATTCTATATCCCTGTCTCTTTCACCAAAAGTTACTTCCAGCCGTCACACCCAGCCAGTGCATTGACCCCCTAGTATATTCTTGCAATATTCCACCTTCGTCGCGTGATCCTAGCCTGCCGACATATCTGTACGACCGTAATATCGGATGCGTTATGACGACGTCGTCACGGCCGAGAGAAGTCTCCGGATCGATATCGAGGCTGTGGGGTTGTCTTCCTGACCCAACGTTGAGCAAAAACTACCGACATAGGCCTTCCCAGGTTTCCTTGCCCTCCCCACGGGGAATCCCTCACGAGCTGAGCACGGAGTGGAGGCGCCGACCGCCAACTGGTTCAGCTTGGGAGCTATCTATCCGGGATCGACGGAAGCTGGTCTGGGACAATGTGCCATCATCGGGCTCGTCTGACTGTGATGCTTACGGACATTGGTACCGTATACTCCAGAGATGAATTGTGGATGGTGTCGCCGCAAGGTTTGATGATCCAGATGACACGACAGTGCGCCTCATGGCTGCTTCCCCAATAAGTACTTCTTGAGAGCACCCAGTCTAGCCTGTGCTCATTACCAATCTTTGTTCACTCGAACGCTCCTGCGTTGTTACCAATTTGGCCAACGTCACCTGTCAGTTGCCCTTGCCCTACCGTCCCCCCGCCTATCTCCTCGGACCCTGGTCTCGTTCCCGCGTACCAGCAATATGTCACTCACACCGAAGAGCCCTCTTACCAGCCATCGTAGCGATGATTCGCTCGATGATGCAGAAAAGGGCATGTACGATAGTACACTGGAGTTGACCGCACCTGGCTTCGTGTATATGGAGCCTAAGAGGCCGACATATACTGTTTCGTCATTGCTTCCCGCTTCCCCTGTTCACCAAGGCATAACACCATGTACAAGCGTACCGGAGCTCTCGCTCTCACTGCCAAAGGGTCGGAAACCTACCGATGCTGCCGCACTGGACACTACCGTGAAGAAACCGGCAGGCGCCAAACCTCAAAAGCCAAAGATCAGCCGGTGGATCCTCTTTGACCTCTGGTTCAACACATACAGGAAGTTCTTCACATTCGTCGTCTCACTCAATCTCACGGGAATAATCTTGACGGCATGTGGCCGATTCAAGTATGGCGAGGAACACCTCGGTGCTTTGGTACTGGGAAACCTACTTTCCGCCATCTTGTTCAGGAACGAGTTATGGATGCGCTTCCTATACATGGTCGCCATATACGGACTAGGGGTATGTACTTCTCCCGTCTCTATCACGAGTCTTTCTGACCAGTCATCATAGTGGGCACCAGTATGCGTAAAGCTAGCTGCGACATCTGTCCTGCAGCACGTTGGAGGGATACATTCTGGATGCGCATTGTCTGGTGCTGCGTAAGTAGATCTTCCACAACCAATTCGAACAGCACTAACAGAGACCTTAGTTGGCTCATCTACAAGTGCGTCGACATCATCCGATACCGTGCCGTACAGCACCCTGCTGTGATCGCTAGCGGTATCATCACCAACGTCTTCATCATCATTTCGGTCCTGAGCGCCTTCCCATGGGTTCGCAAGTGAGTAGTTCCGATGAACGTGTTACTCTGTGATACCATGCTTACGCCCTGGTCAGCACCTATCACAATGTCTTCGAGAAGCATCACAGATTTGTTGGATGGCTAGGCCTCGCAGTATGGATCCCGATTGCGTTCTTCCGAGAACTCATACTAATGCTCGCTAGATGACATGGGTTTTCGTGGTCATGGGCAACACCTACGACATCAAGCGTGGCGAGTGGAGGACCGACGCGCACAGCTTACTCAGTGCACAAGAGCTGTGGTTCGCTGTCTTCATGACAGTATTGTAAGAGCGCCCATACTTCTACCAGCTGCTCCTACTGACCAGTTGTAGCATTCTCATCCCATGGGTAACTCTCAGAGAGGTACCAGTCGAAGTCGAGATCCCCTCACCAAAAGTCGCTGTTCTCAAGTTCGAGCGCGGCATGCAGCAAGGTCTTCTAGGACGGATTAGCCGCACGTCCATCATGGAGTACCACGCTTTCGGCATCATCAGCGAGGGACGCAATGCTACCCATCATTACATGATTTGTGGTGTTCAAGGAGACTTCACCAAGAACCTTGTCGCCAATCCACCAAAGACTGTATGGACACGCCAGCTCAAGTTCGGTATGTTCTTGCATAACTCTACTTGCACCTCCATTGCTAACACAATCACAGCCGGCGTCGGCCACGCCTCCGCAATGTTCAAACGCGGTATCCGCATCTGCACCGGTACTGGCATCGGCGCCGCTCTCTCAACCTGCATCCAATCTCCCAACTGGTTCCTCATCTGGATCGGCTCTGACCAAGAGCGCACATTCGGCCCCACCGTCACAGGTCTCATCCACAAGCACATTGAGCCCGAGCGCATGATCCTCTGGGACAGCAAGAAGCGGGGTGGCCGACCGGACACAATGGAGTTGTTGAGAGATACGTGGAAGAGGTTCGGCGCTGAGGTCATCTTCATTACGAGCAACAGCCAGGGCAACGATGAGATGATGCAGGGGTGTGCTAAGGAGGGCATGCATGCTTTCGGTACACTCTGGGACTTTTAGAGTTTTGACATGAACTCAATCTTAGACGGAGACGGGTCGGTTCAACATAGTACAGAGGAATATGAACTACAGGATGCTGGAGACTATAGCGGCATTGCGCATCTTGCGGATGGAGTTTTTGGGACTTTCTCTTAGAGGTGCATTGGGTAGACAAAGGGCATTTCTGGCTTTACTTTCACGTTGGTAGCAGCCCAAGTATAATAGCAAAACACGCGGCATCATCGCATCGACTCCAGCTCTCACAACTATCAAATTTGCATGTGACATCAACGTAATCCAAGAACACAGTCAGCAAAACGAAATCACATATCTCGGTGGTAATACAAAGTCTCAGATAGCGATACCGATACCGACCACCTACCACACAGCCGGCTCACCAGCCGCCCCCAAGGTCCAGATCCCACCATCGCACCCACCATCCTCGCAAGTACTAACCACTCCACTACATCCCACACAATACCACATACACGGCGCACGGTAGTCTTGGCCCCACATGGTCCATACCGTCCGATCGCCAAGGTGCGCATTCCCTCACGTGGTAATAACAACCGGCTGATATAGGTACCTGATCCGCGAAAACGGCGTTATTGGAGTATGCTCGCAATATATATTAGATTGGGGTGGGCTGTGCGTGGAAACACACTAGAACATTGTATAATACATCACATGCGATGCGCCCTTTCCATCGTCGATGGGGGGAAAAGAACGAGATTGTGGGTTCTGGTGGTGGAGGGAGGTACAAGTGTCATGTACCTGAGGCCATTGTGGCGCTTCGTGGGGTTGGGCTGCGACGAGGGTTTTCGCTTGCAGATGGGATTGTTTTTTCGGAGCAGGATTCCGTTAGTGAGACGGAGTGTGAGTGTAGTAGTTGCGACGTCATAGTTTGGGTTTTGGTATATTGGAAAGAAGGAACGGGGATATGGGTCGTTGCTTCACCCAAGAATATGTCTGACACGGGAGATCTTCAGGCATACGATGCTATGTTACAGAATGGATGACACCGGCTCGGTGCGATGGTCCCGTTCAACAAGCAAAGCTTAAGCTTTTTGTCTACCCGAACAAGCATCGGTCTTACTCAGCAGGATGAAGGAACTCGGGGAACCAGGGTCTTGCTAGTGATGCTAATTTTATAAATAACTCACGACGCGAACATATACTTCCGGCCTTCCTCGCTGCTTATCCAATCTTCGGGATAGCCTAGTTCAGATAGTACTTTCTGCACAAGTTGGGTTGGATGGAAGTGAAAGTGATGAGCCACTTGGACTGCCTTCGGCCCGTATCTCTGGAGCATTGAAGCCATGTCATTGACGTACGCATCTTCTGTTTAGCAATGTCAGCGCTTTGCAAATAGGCAGTAACATGGGGTACGAGCGTTTGCTAGTGGTAGCTGTTGTGACGGAGGAAGATGAAAGTCTAGAACGAGAGCTTACTTACCTCCTAGCTTGGTGTGGATCAATATGGAATAGTCAAACTCGACTCCGTGTGCGACAAAGAAGTCCTTGATATCCCAGAAACTGAATGGCAGCGGAGAGGCGCTCGTTTTCCTGTCTGAGTACGCTACATATACCTTCTTGAGACGTAGACCGTGGGTTTGCAAAGGGAGTGCGCTGGAGAAGAGGCGATAATAGTCTTCATGGTATTTGTGGGATACTATCGTAGATTTTATCCCCAATGACAACTGCTGTAGTCCACGAGGAAGTACATCCCGAAGCTGAGGGTACTGCCAGCCTCCCTCACCGGTATAATCCATTGAGGGCCTGCCTAGCAGTATTTGAAACGACGTGGTGAGCTTTTCCAGAGCATGTAATCGGTGGAACCCATCGACGCGCGCGTTGGTCAGATCAGGGGCATCTCGTGGGTCGCGATGTGTAAAGTTGAGACGTAGGATGCGTAGCTTGTCTTGCTGCTGCTCGAGACCAGACATGATCTCCGGCAAGCCGCGTAACGAATCATTACTCGAGTCCCGCACATACTCAAATGTCGATAGTTCTTTGCAGTACATGATCATGAGCTTCGTATGTATAGCCGAAATCTTGACTCTGTGGAGTATGAGGGTGGAGACCGATGAGGACCTCTCCTGAATTGGCCAATCTTCTCCTTCTAACATCGACCACACCCCTGCTTTCACGCTTAGACGAAGTTTTCGAAGACTCGGTAAAACAAAGAGGCATGCCACAGTTGAACTGTAGCAAGCGCCATTCTGCATGTTTATATCGATAGCCCGGAGCTCGTTGTAGAATGGGTTGTTGACACTCTTGATGAGATTTCGTTGCGCAACCTGGATGATAGGATAAAGCCATATGGGGGCATCGCCGAGGAACCCGCCAAAGCGCGATGTCGCATGACGGGCGTCCATGATGAACTCTCGTAGATTGGGTGAGTTGGCAACAACCAATGCGAGCTCAACCGCAGCCGGTTGTCCCTCCAGTGCCTCCGCAAGAATATGCCGTACATCATCTGGCCAGCCTCGTTGGGTCATTAAGGCTGACTCGAGCGCCTCTTTTGGTGGTCCTTCGTAAAGTGGCATTCCATCGATCTCAGCATCGCTCAACACTTTGATGTGCCTGCAATCTGAATATGTATGATGATAAGGCCCAGGCCGAGCTCCCTGTGCGAAAGGTCCGAATGGATGGCGGAACTCCCATACGAACTTCTGACGGAGGATATCCCTTGCGACGTGGGACAAGGTGCGACAGGTGCGTGCTAAAGAATAGAGAGTTGCGTAGGTCGTCGAAAGGCTGTATTTGCGATCACGCGCATGCAGCCTAGCTTGCCTGCGCTGACCGTCAAACAAGTGATCGAAGATGAGAGTGAGGATTTCATTTGGAAGGTCGGGAAGCGATGGACGACTTACAATGGCCTCGGTGGACATGCTGTCGATTGACTCGCAGTGATTGTACATGCGCAGAGGTTTGCAATATGCGGGTATAAAGGTTGGGAAGCTGTCTCCAAGCAAACAAATAGGAGATTACTGTGTGGTTGAAACTCTTGGCACATGCATGCACCCTCCCGGGCGACAACGTGTAGTCGTCAGGATGGTGCATCGTGCATCGAAAAAGCGATGAATATTTTCGTTTGTGCTACAACACACATGACGTATCCTATGTCTGCTCAAAATGACCCATCAGCAAATGCATCTGCATCTTCGGAGAATGGAATACAGTGTATTGCCAAAGACCAAGACTGATCGTAACCAGACCGTATGGCCGGCCTGTTCCACAAAGGATTGGGTCACACGGGAACTGAGTCTGATTGGCATCATCCAATGCTTGCAGCCGCTCATGGCCATCGCATTTCCTTATCGCGTCTTTTTATCCGGTCCAGCAGTCCCTCTCAGCTTGTTCAGCTTGAACGTCCTGGTGAAGTAAAGATCAAGCGCCGCAGTCGGTAGGTATGTCCACGCGAACCACACGACCCAGCTCATCTTGCCCTCCCATATCCATCTCGTCTTGGAGAGTATGCCGTCTCCAGCGAGCACCTGCCTCACGCAACTGCTTGCGTATTGCTTGGTATCCATGCCCAATTCCTGGCTGTGCTTCAATCTTCGCTCGTACTCGGCAGCAAGCGGTTGCATGTAGGAGCCCGGTGGCAGTGTTCGGTGTGTTCGCGCAATATTTGATGTGACGCCGCCAGTCACGACGTTGATGACGCGTACGCCTAGCGGAGCGAGTTCGACGCGTAGGGTGTCGGAATAGGCGTGCAGTGCGGCCTTGGAGGCATTGTATGGTGCACCCCACACATAAGGCATGATGCCAGCTAATGACCCTGTCTGTACGATTGTACCCTTTGCTTCGACCACAAGAGGGGTAAAGGTCTTGCACATCTCCATGACAGAGAAGACGTTGACCTGGAAAAGTTCCTGCAGCTCATCCTCATCGTAGTCCAGCGCCGGTACAACGTAGTTTCGTCCGGCATTATTGTACAGTATGTTAAGTTTCCCTCCCGTGATCTCAGTGACGCGTTGGTGGAGTGCGCGAATGGATTCCTTGTGGGGGAGTTCGAGGGGTAGATATGTGATGTTGGCGTGCGGCGAGGTGTATTTGGACGGATCGCGAACGGTACCCAGGACTTGGAAGCCTATATACGCCGATTAGCAACCAAGGATGGTGAAGACAAGATGTTATGCTGACCTCGCTCAGCGAACTCCAGCGCGAGATAGTGCCCAATGCCGCCGGGCGTACATCTACTCGCGTCAGTTGGAGCTGGAAAGAGCTAAGCCTACGACTGTCGCGGCTTGTAGCAGTACTTACCCCGTGACTAAAGCGAATTGCGTTCTCCTTCCCTCGGCCATTGTGTGTTGACAGCTGCCAATATGTTGATGGTAGCAGACGTCACAGCTCACGATGCGCATTATTCAGATCCGCGCCTCGGTTGTTCCTGCCACTAGCGCGTCGACGTCACACACGCCCTGTCCGTATCTTGAACCCCCCAACTGACCTATCATGTCATCGACTACCACAATGCCTGACTAGCATTTGTTCCCGAGCGTTCCATTGGGACATGGAGCTTAGCCGATGATGTTCCTTTTTGGTTTCTGGTTTCTGTTTCCTTTCCTCCACTCTTGCTCTTGCATCCTCATCGATTGATCGCCGTTGCGACCGCGGATCCGCTTCCGAAGTATCTTATAATCGTAACTCCGAGACACACAGGATTCAAAGAAATCATGACGGCGTCACAATGGCTGGGCGAGCATATTCCGACGCTTCTTCGTCCGTCCATATTGCTTTTCATAGCAGCATATCGTGAGTAGCATTGCAACTATCATTTAGGGTACCCGAACTGACTTATACATAGACTTCGTAATGACCATGTTTGAAGTCGTGTTCTATGACTGGCGCCCTTTTTCGCTCTTCAACATTACCAAACTCCGTTTCAAGGCCTTCGCCCGCCTCTGGAAGAACAACGGCGAAGCAATGTCTGCTGAAATGCCCGGCCCTACATTCTCGCTTTTGTCCCAGTGCAAAGGCGTAGTCCTCGACATCGGCCCTGGATCCGGAGAGATGCTTTCACGTTTTAACCCGGATATTATCACTGCTGTGTACGGGGCTGAGCCTGCCGAAGACTTGCATCCAGGGTTGATGAAGAACGCGGAGAAGAGAGGGTTTGGTAGCAAGTTCCACGCCATGGTCTGTGGTGCGGAGCCGGAGAGTCTCATTCCAGCATTGCACAAGAGCGGAATCCTGGATGTAAGTGGAAAAGGCGGGTTGGCATCTGATGGTGTATTTGACGAGATCTGCTGCACCCGCGTGCTTTGTGGTGTTCCCCACCCAGAGCAGACTATCAAGGGACTCTACAACCTTCTCAAGCCTGGCGGTCGTATGGTGATCTGCGAACACGTAGCGAATCCCTGGAGAACCGAAGGCAGAGTCGCTGCACGATTCATGCAATTGGTGTATACGATCCTTGGATGGCCTTTCTTCTTGGGTGGGTGTGAGCTTCAGAGGCATACGCTCGACTTCTTGAGGGACGCAGGTGAATGGGATAAGTTTGATCTAAAGTACTACGGCCCCCAAGATTGTGTACCGTTCATCGTTGGAGAGCTGATCAAGAAGAATGGCTCGTTGGACAAGAGCTACGCTGAGGCTGTCAAAGAGTAGATGGAGGGTCAAGACGTAATGCGGTAGTTGTACAATGACTGTAGATAGAATGCGACCGGACCTAGTACAGAGCAAGCCTGCATGGAACTTGCAGAAATGGCTTCGCTTGGAGGTAATTAAGTAACTAAGATTCATACCGTTGTACATGTGTAATAAAGCAACGCTAAAAAAACGTCCATGTTCATTTCTTCATGGTATTACCGTTTACACCCTGACTCATGACATGATCATGCTACCAGAGACCAACAACACAGAAGCGACAGCCCATCGTGGCCAATACATCTTTCCCGGGGCAGCATTCGCAGTCTGCTCTGGCGCTGTAGCAGCTGCCGTTGGAGAACCTGTTCCCTCCGCGCTGGACAAAACAATTGTTGATACAGTAGCCGGGGTTTCTGCGGCTGAAGATGGAGGACTGCCGCTCGACGGGACGACTGAGTTCGCTGGGCTACCCGATGCTGCTGAGGTAGGGGTAGGGGTCGCAGCTGAAGAAGGCGAGTTCGCATCATCCGTGGGTGTAGCACTCGCGGCCGCACTTGACCCACCAGTAGCAGTAGACACCCTGACTGCCGTGCTACTCGCTGTTCTCGGTGTTGGCAGGCTACTAGGCAACGCTTCTGCACTGCCACCTGCACAATCTGCCTGACCACCAAGCTTCACAACCATCCCTACCCCAGCCATCGCGTCTCCTAACCCATTGTCATCTTGGAATTTCGTAATATCAAAGGCCTCGTCATCTCCTGGTAGTTGCAGATCCGTGATCTCTTTCCGTCCTGGGTTCGTGTACATCAGGAAACTGTATTGCCGGTTATCTCCCTTTTCTCCGACAGATCCAGGAGCAACGTAATCCAGAACAGCAGGTGAATCAGTCTCGATGTTGGTGATGTCGAAGTTGTTTTTGAAGTTCGCTCGAGCGTAGTGGAGTTTTCGAGCATTTGGACATGTGCTATCCACCATGATGATCGTGTACAGCGTGCCAGGGGAGATGCCACTGCTATCGCCAAGAGCGAATGTAGGCTCCTTTGCTACAGCTATACGATGTTAGATATCGTAGTATATGTTGAGATACAAGACCAACCATCTTTCTCAAACACTGTTCCATCCTTGAAGCCATTAATTGCTTCGCCTGTGAAAGACACCTGTACCTCGTCTCCACCTGAACGGAAGCCTGATCGAAGGTCTTCGGGTATGATGGTGTCGTCTTGCGCTGCGACGAATGCTGCGAAAGCAGCAATGAAAGTTGCTTGTTTGAAAAAGCGAATAGCCATACTGTGCAGATTTGAGAGAATGCCAAGTGGAAATGATTAGGGTGGGCGCGCTTAATCGATTGTGTTTTACTCCCTCTCAAAGTACAATGCAGCCCCAGGATATATATCCCCTCCACCATATTTGCATACTCTGTACTCCAACGGCGATATTCACGCCGCGTAGTCCTCCCCACACAGTCCACTGCGCCCCAAACCCCGGAAGACCGTTGTGTCCGGCAGACGCCGGTGGAAATAGACCTTGGCATCTGAATACTGCTTGATCTCCAGACGATAAGCGCACGATCGCACCATTTTGGGTGGTTTGTTGGCGCCCGGCTGTGCTTGTCAGCTGTTTTGGTTTCATGATGTTTCGGCAATCAGGCAGCCGGGCGCTTCTGACAAACGATCGGCTTTACTGAGATTCGCGCATCGGCGGCACACCCTTGGTTGCCTCTGGGTTGCGACAAGTAGGCGAGACGGTACTGTGCCTGAGATGTTGTTGCGAAACTCAGGTGTCACTGCCGAGCCCTTCGTGTCCTTGAACCGCGCGTTCCAACGTAGAGACACCACGAGAACTACCCTCAGACTGAAAGACATTCATACAACCGCATCTTCCAGTATGAGAGGATTCAATGCTCATTCTAGTTGGAGTAACAGTTTGAAAGTGTGCTAGCATCAGCGATAGGACTCGGCTGTACACGGCGCGACAACGAGACTTGGGTGTAGGATACAGTTGTCACATCTGTGTGATACAAACCCTCATAACTGCTTGATCAGAAACCGGCGACGACCATGCAGTATTTCGAGAATCAAATGGAATGCTCTGTCTCGGTGTCTCAGGCCTCTCGCACCGGAGGCAGGGTTGTTCCGGTGCCGCACCACGCCAAGACCCCGGTTTAGCGATTTTTGGCGCCCCACACCACTTTGAAGGTCATCGAATTCAACACCCAGACGCTTCCACACTCGTCAACTCATCACAACCGCCAAAATGACGAAGCGCACAAAGAAGGTCGGCATCACCGGAAAGTACGGTACCCGTTACGGTGCCTCGCTCCGTAAGCAGTAAGTATTCCCTCGCCGCAATCGCAGAGCCAGGGACAGCTGTACTGACAATATCTAGGGTCAAGAAGATGGAGGTGCGCAATCAGACACGACCCGTACAGCCTCAGTAGAACGAATCACTCACCTGCGATAGATCACACAACACGCCCGCTACGTCTGCCAATTCTGCGGAAAGAACTCTGTCAAGCGTGAGGCCGTCGGTATCTGGAACTGCAGGTCTTGCCGCAAGACCACCGCTGGAGGAGCCTACACCGTCTCGTAAGACTCCCCACACACTATCGCACCCATGTGCTGTTGCGCAAAGACCGGCCGCAGACTATATCAGGACAACGCTAACCGCTACCCACAGTACTCCCGCTGCTGCCGCCACCAGGTCAACGATCCGTCGTCTCCGAGAGATTGCTGAGGTTTAAGGGAACATTGAGCATTGGGTGGAGTTCTTCGAGGTTTTCTCTGCATCGGCAGCCATGGTCCGATGAAAGGCTCATCGCAGCAATCGGATGCTGGTCTCATAACGACCAGGGGTTCATCAGGGAATCATACAAAACAATGGCACGATCATGACAAAACAAACACCTCGCTCCTCGCGCCGCGTACAAGCTGTGATGATTGCATCGATGATCTGGGCACGTCACCGGATGTGTCCTTTACGGCTCGCGTTGTCTAACCACGCCGCGTTCCGTCATCTTAGTGAATTCGCTAACCTTGTAGGTTCGTCGCTTTCCTGGGGTATGCAGCGATACCGTTGCAGTAAGCATGGACACTGCGCCGACTATATGGATCTACATTGGTGTCATCATACTGACAACCGTGACAAACGGTGATCATCATTGACCAGGAACACGGTTCTGCACCCAGAGTGTTGTAGTCACGAAACCTTGTTTCGTCGCTCGCACCACATCTCACCAACGAATGATATACACCTACAGAGATCGATACGAGCTACTCTATCTCGGCGTCTGCAATGCCTTAAGAATGCTTTAATTCCCGTGTTGTGACTAGAGTAGACTGAGCGCACTGGTTCGATCTCCTCTATCTATGAGGTGCTCGTGCTTAACAAGTCGTGCGACGGGCTGGAATAGACGCAGTAGTAGCAACGGGTCGTGGGTAATCTTCGGCTCGTGGAAGTCTAGTCTATGCAGATGCGAACCCGCCACCCTCCCACGTGCCACATGGGATTCGAGAAGCAACGCTTCTATCGTTGCTTCGACTCACATGCATCTCACATTCATCAATCCAACACCGCGGTCGTCAGGTGGCGCTATAATCGCCAGTGCGCATGCTCGAGGACGGACAGACCGTACGCGACATGGCTCGCGCTGTCATCGGAGAGGTCGGTATTACCTCAAGGTGAACAGGCATATATGAAGTAAGCAAGTATTATGCGACAGCCCCGTATATTTGACAGATTATGCAGAAGTGACTGAGCCAACCGAGCTTTGCTATCGTGTAAAATCGTGAGGCACACAGTGGAGGTCACTCAACGATCATCGATGCGACTGAAGTCATACGCGAAGAACGTCTGGATCAGACCACCTGAACGCCCGTTACGCGCGTGCTCGGACATGCACGGCTGCCGAAGATAGGCTACAATCTAGGCCTCTCCGAAACATATGCAAATTTTGGCATAGGCTATCCACGCGCGACGTCATGCCGTGATCCTGCCGACCGGACCGCCCACTAAGTGGAGTCCCGCAGAGCCTCAACACCAAACTCTTCTCACAGTCCTGGAACGCTAGAGCACATAGTGTCCGTACACGTTAGAGATAGCAGATTTTTCTCGTCCGTCCACGCTTCGTAATGGCACTAAGTGAATCTATTGGGCATTTGAGCACCGATACTATGACGTCGAAGACGATGAACCTGGGATGCCCCTTTGTAGTGGTCCTCCGTCCTCGTGCCAGCCTGTCGGGTGTTTACGGTCAGGCCATGGACGGGACGAATGCCATCCCACACACCGCCCCTAGTGGCGACGATGCCGTCCCTCGCCGGTGTTGACAAGCAGGATATACATATCAGCTTTCCGTCTCCCAAATTCCATCCCTCTCTTTGATTACGGTCGTCACTCCGCGCCCATTCCTTTGTTTTCCAAATAGGAACCTCCACTTTAATCGTCGATCAACATGTCTGGGTACTACGGTCCCTCCTTCAACCACAAGTCATCGCGACCTCCATCTCTTGCAGCGTCGAGAGCAAATTCCTCCTACAGAGTTGCTCGCAGTGCACCCGTCACGCCTCGCAATGGTTCGATCACCACCCCTCGCAACGGCTCCATTGCTGCCACAATCGCCGGTACGACCGCAGCACAAACAGCTGCCAACACCGCAGCCAACACTGGTGCAACTACACCTGCGTTGCTCTCGAGAGTGAACAGCAGACTAGAGGATCAGGCCAACGGCAAAGAGGAAGCCCCTTCCATGAACTCGGAAGTATTGCGCAACGAAAAGGGCGAGCTCATTGTTGGACGAATCGCAGGTGGAAAGCATCTTACCGACGACATTGAGGACATCGATCCTGGGTGTGGTGAGATCAAGAAGGTCGACTGCGACATGCCTCTTACATTGACCGAGATGGTCCACCATGAGGGCAAAGACTACATCGTGCTCAGCTTCGCCACTGGTGACAAAGAGAACCCGTTCAACTGGAACCCCTGGTACAAGCGCAGTATCACCACGATGCTGAACTTGATGACGCTCTTTATCGGTCTCGCAACAACGGCATACAGTTCGGGCATCAACAGAATGTGCGAGGAGTTCGGCGTTGACACAATCTACGGTCAGCTTGGACTGTTCACCTTCAACATCTCGTGTGCCATCGCACCCATGGTACTAGCTCCGTTCTGTGAGCTTGTCGGACGCAAGATCGTATACGCCAGTGCCTTCCTCTGCTTCTCACTCATCTTCATCGGTCTCGCGCTTGCTCAGAACATTTCCACCATCATCGGCCTCCGCCTACTACTCGGTCTCTTCGGCTGCGTCGGTACCATTCTCGTCGGTGGCACTTTCGACGACATGTACGAACCCCACAAGCGTGGCCGACCGATGGCCATGTTCGCTTTCGTCGCCATCTTCGGTACTGTCGCTGCACCCATCTACGCCGGCTTCATCGACCAAGCGCTCGGATGGCGATGGGTTGAGGGTATCCAGGGCCTCGCCAATATTCCTCTCCTGATCCTTATCTTCGTCGCTTTCCCCGAAACACGTGGCGGTGCTAGACTACACAAGCGAGCCAAGCAGCTGCAAAAGGCAACTGGAGATGAGCGATACGTCGCGGAAGATGACATCTACACTCCCGATGTCAAGTCCATGCTGAAGGCTTCGTCCGTCAAGGCCATCCGCATGCTTGTCACCGAACCCGTCGTCTTCGCCTTCGGTCTCTGGATTGCCTTCTGCTGGGCCGTCGTCTTCCTGTTCCTTTCGGTCATCCCAATTACTTTCACCGAGAAGCGTGGTTGGTCTGAAGGTGTCAGCGGTCTACCTTACATTTCTCTCGCCATCGGTACTTTCCTCGGCTGGGCTGCCCACCACCTCCAGATGCGCAAGTACAACCAACTCCAAGAAGACCCCAACGTTCGCATCGTTCCCGAGCACCGTCTCTATGGCGCCATGTTCGGCGCTGTCTGGCTACCTATCGGTCTCTTCATCTACTCCTTCACGCAATACGGATACCTGAGCTGGGTTGGCCCCGTCATCGGTCTCGCACCTATCGCATTCGGTATCTTCTTCGTCTTCGAGAGCACATATTCCTACACTGCCGATTGTTACGGCGAGACGTCTTCCTCGGCTATCGCTGGTCAGGGATTAATGAGGAACACGCTCGGTGCTGTTACCCCACTTTTCGCGAGCGCTTTCTTCCACAACGTAGGAAGTCAGTATGCGGGTTTGATCCTTGCGATGTTCGGAACTGTGCTGAGTTTGATTCCGTTCGTCATGTTCAAGTATGGACATCTGCTCCGCGCG